TACAGAATTTGACTACTGAAACACAGAGTTTGTGCTGTGCAGAAAGTCAGATGCACCTAGTGATAATCCCTTTCAGCTTTAATATCTTCTAGTCTGTATGGATCAGCTTCTCCAACAGCCTTATCTTACTAATAGGAGAGCGAAGGTGACTTTACATGTACATGGCATGATGGCTGAGACCCAGGCCCAGCCTCCTGACGTACTGATTCCACAGGACTCCAGGTTACCCAGTCTTACAGCACTGGGGAAAAACACTGACCTGTGGTATGAACCACTAAGTCTTAACAGAACTAATATGCAAGCAGCTGCAGTTTCAGATTTTACACTTGACACATTGAATGCTCACTTTTCTCATCTTCATTTGTCTTTATACTTGGTTGGAAGTGGGGAGGAGGAGTTGGAGGGTTTTAACCTGCAGGGTTCATGGCTATCATTTCTATCCAGTCCCTTCTTTTGATGCTATTAATATCCTCAAAAACTGCATTTTGATTTGCTTAGTAATCAATAAATGCAGGGGAGTTCAAATCTAATGGTAAATACAATTTGTCAGAAGGGAAAAGATACCTTCAAACTTAGATCATATGGCACAAATACATTTGTGATCTTAAAGGAAAACACTGGCCTGAGGTTTTAAAGGCCTCTCCTGCTATCACCTGTTTTATCACCTGCATTTGATCTAGGCAATATAGACAGGTTTGGGTACTCAAAAATAAAGCCAGGTTGCTCAAAAGAGGACAACAGTATTATAACATGGCTGTATCAACATCTCACATTTGCACTGAATTATGGGGAGAAGAAAAAAAAAAACATTTTTATGTTTTTCTTAATATTTTAATGTTAGTAGCTTACTTATTGCTATATGAGCTTGCCCCCAAAAGTGATCCATTTTGTCATCAGATTACAGCTCAACAATATTTCAATTCTACTTTTGTCCTGACAAGCCATCTAGATCACTGGTTTCAAGATGCTATTCAGTTCGACTGCTCACACACACCTTTGTCTTTTGCTGCCCTGCAACATGCCTGAGCCCAGACCCACTGTGATCATCACTAAGGCTGGGACTTACTCTTTCATGACCACTTAATCACCAGGCCTCACTGCTGAAGCTGGCAACAGACGCGACAATTAGTGTGAATTACAGTGGCCATTTGCATGGTAAAAAATGGTGTCTAGAAGATCTGAGAAGAAATTTTCAACCAACATGACTTGAGAACAGAAAAGCAACATCTGAAAAACTGCAAAGTGCCTGGCTCATGAGAATAAGTAGGTGTGCAAGACATACATTCTCTTTCCACTCTAGCAAATATCTTCATCACTACAGCACTCAAAGGAAATACAATTTAATGAGGGAAAGATTTAAGTCATTGCAACCAAGTTCAGATTTAGAAGTATGGAAATGTCTTGTTCCTTGAGAAAACTGAAAATGAAATACTGCACTCTATCTGAATTTTAAAAAATGCAATGAAGTTTTGGTCATGTGGAAAAGGCTCAGTATTTCACGTTCTTATAAATCCAGGAACACAAGAAGGTTTTGGTACAAAACAGAAGCCCTGTTTTTTGCTGAGCTCTCTTGTCTAGACTGGGCATAACAGGAACTCATTTCACAGAGTAATTGCACAGGCATTAGATCAGAATGCCAGCTCTCCACTAGCCTAAACTGAGGTATAATCTATGATAGAGACACATTTTGCAAATTTGCTGTCATACTGGTACTTCCTGGAAGATGCTAAGGACTTTACAGGGAAAATATTCTTATCAAAAGATACCATAAGACGCAGTAAGGGCAGCAGCTGCTTAAAGAAAAAGATTTTAGAGCAATCCAAAGTTAATCTGTGAAGCCTGTTGCATCATGAAAACTCACAAAACCTAATATTTAGCAGTACTGAAAAATAACTGGATATTGACACAGGTAATGAGGACATCCATATGCTAATTTGAAAGTCTACAGAAATTAAGGGACTTGGAAACCTTTATGACTTTATTACCAGCTCTGAAAATGGGATAATACTAACCTGAAGGTAAGTTGTTTGCAACTGTCTATCATTCAGACACTTACAGTACTCACTGCAGAGTCCTGTTTCAGAGATAATGCAATGTTAAATGGACTGCCAAAATGATCAGGCAATGGTCTTCTTTCATTCAGTGGGATCATCTGGATGGAATGCCTCCGGATGAGCATGCAAAAACTTCCTTAACATGTAGCGTTATAAATTTACCTGTAAATCTACCTAACAGCTGCTGTAAAACTCTGTTAATGAAGACTAAACTCAGTCATCTGTATAACCAGGTAGCAGAGTAGCTATAAAAATTGCTGTGCTTTCCTGGCAAATCCTTACATCCACAGCTACACTCTTCTTTTTCTGTTTCTGATTGAGACATCAAAGAAAAGATATGTAGAAATTATACATGATGAATCTGGAAAAATGGCTTCAAATCAGGCACTCCTACTCCTGCTATGCCTTGCTGCAGTGCAGCAATGGATCCACCCTGCTGCAGAGCAGTAGACTCACAAGCTTTCTGCTGCCTGACACCTCTGGTGAAAGTGGAACAATTTATTTGTGTCTGTTCAATAAGTGATTTAAAGCCTCCTGGAGGATCGGTGCAACCCACATGAAGCTGCTATCTAGAGTTTTGCCCTGCAGAGTCCTACACCTGTCTGACAGTGACTCTCTGGAAGGATTCCTACAGCTGTGAAATACAGATGCATAATTATTGCTGTCAGGAAAAGTGTTGTGACTGCAGTCCTGCAAACACTGCACTGCAGTTCCCTCCTATACTTCATTTCAGCACAGAAGTCATTTTTGTGAAGCTTTCAAAAAAGCAAAAGGTAAATGAGCAGCCAGTGTTTATCCATACTGCTCTTCCATTAGAGCTAATCTTGTGAGGGCTGCACTGAGTTAAGACATTCAGTAATTTTAGGCCCCAAGATGTGCCTGGAGACTCTACTGAAACCACAGTTCACTAGAAAGATGGTATTTCTGGTGCTCACCCTAAATTTTCTTTATCTAGACATTTCCTAGTTACTGCCCAAGCTGTGTCTTTCCCTCTTCCCTGCTGCACACTGAAGTTTGCAGATCTGCTTTACATGATTATCTCAAAGAAGGTTGAAAATGCAAGAAAGGACAGATATGGTAAAATTAATTTAAGTTCAGGGAGGAGCAACACTTACTGCACATTGTATAGCACACGCATTCCTCCATCAAACAGCTCAGATGCCATTGTGACTCACTAGCATAAGAAACCAGACCACGTATGTTAGGATACGTACACAGAGATGAGAATATCCATTCAGACCAGTAAAGAAGGTCCCTTAATTCATACTGACTGAAATCTAAAGCTCTGTTTTGCCTCCTGACATTTTGTTAAATAATAAAGAACTACAGTCCTTAGCAGAGTCTCTAACTAAATCCAGTTAGCAAGCAGTCTACACCATTTTCACTTCTCTGTTTTGCAACGGGAACTAGGCTGTAGCAGGAGCTGCCAAGATAGATTTAGCCTGTAACAAAAAGAAATTGACTGGTTTTCATGATATTTAAAGTGCATAGCAAACCGTCATAAATCCTGCTCTCTGTGTATATATATTGCTAAACAGGGCACCAACAGCACATATTTTAAATGGCTCAGAAATTGGTCTATTTGTAATCTTTTTAATTTACTGGCTGTGTTGCAGATTTATTTTTTGTTACCGTGCAGGTGGGAAGCACATGTTGCTCAGTCCAAAGAAGCCTGCTTTTTACCTCCAGTCTTCCTCCTTTTTCTCTGTCACTGAAGCAAATTAAAAGGGAATTAAAAATGGAGGTCGAAGAGGGACAATGGCTAACAGAGGAGAATGGGGTAGCAAAAGATCTGACAAATTAAAAATTAACCTGCACGCTGGAAAATAATTTTCCCAGTAAAGCATAATTGCAGCTTCCCCTGTTGCTCTAGTAAATGAAATTTAAATATTTAACCAGAGTGCTGGCGTCACAGCGCCCGCAGCGTGTGCCATCCCCGGCCCAGGGAGGCAGGGGAAACCTTGCAGAACTAAAGTAGCCCTGCTGCTCTCCACTGCATGGGGCTGCTTGGCTCTGCAATGCACCTACCTCTTCTGCTCCTGGCAACTCCACCAGCCTCAGGCAGCTGCAGATGGTGGTTCAAATGCCATACAAATGAGGCAGGTGGTGCCAGGTGCTTCTGCTGGTGCACTTTATATTATCTCAGATACAAGCAAAGGGCAGTGGGACACCAGACCTTCAAAAAAAGTGGTGTTGTCTACTGCATCCAGGACAAGCCATGAATCTCAGGCATGTATCATGACAAAAAAAAAAAATAATCCAATGCAGCTTTCATGGTCACATAGATGGGAACAAGGCCATTGCTGATAAGCCATTTTCTTTTCAAAGAATTCGACTGCCAGAAGTCCTGCTAAAGCCAACTGTAGGCATAGCCACATGACACATTTAGAAAATCAGGCCATTTACCAGGTAACAGGCAGGCTCCCTGCAGAGAGGGGATGGTTCCTTGGAGTATATGCAATAGCACTCTGTCTAGTCTGCTTTTTCAAATGGTCTGTGTAACAGAGCCGCCACCAGACCCTTAATATCTATCCCGTAATCAAACAGCTCTCTCTCATTTCTTGCTGTTCTGCTAAAGCATTCCCTTCTTAATATATTTATCCTCCCCCTACCTTCTTGTACTCACTTTAAAATCACTCCTTCGTGATTCTCTTCGGGACTCCCACTTCCAAATACTTAAAGATTGATTCTCCTACATTCATTTAAATCTTAATTGCTTCCCTTTTGTAGTAACCAGAAAGAGAGAGAGCATTGTTCTCTCCTCCGTGTTTTTGCCATCCAGAAGGGATCAGGACTGTGCCATGCTTGGCTAAGGAACAGGCATAAAAGATGGACAAATGGCTTATGCAACATATGTTACTGTGGACGTTACAACTGCATCAGAACTGTGCCTACTCCAAGCTTCTTCCAGGTAATGGGCCCTCTTCTCCAATCCCCCAAAACATAAAAGTTTGGACTCTGTCCTATTATATATTTGTAATGGATTTTCCAATGCATCCTAAAGGAAACACAGACGCCTGTAATAAATGCAGCTATTTGTAGCTGAGAAAAGTTTCTGCCTGAACAGAACTCAGTCAGGAAAGACAAAAAACAGTGTGCATGAGGGTGGATTAAATGTCACTGGAAAAATGTCACTTTTTTTCCAAAATCCAAGCGAAGCCTTCAAGATGAAAATCAGATCACAGGATGACATATTTTCCTCTGACTCTGTTATTATCTCATACTGGAGCAGAAGCCCAAACCTTCTTGTGTGAGCATGCTGAGCCTGAGATCTGCATTGCTCTGTAGGCTGCAGGACATCTAATGGAGACAGGTGGGCTTCCCTTCATCCTAGTCAGGATCCCTGGTAAAGAAGGCACAGGGTACTTTTAAACCAGTTTCATGCAGCCTGGTTTGCCTCCAAAGAATACATGTGGCAAATGTGAAACGCATGATGAATGCTACCCTAGTCAGGAGGCAAGAAGTTGAGGCAAGTATTTGAGGAAAAAAAAAATAAATAAATAAAAATGTCTCGTCTAGCCAAAATCAACCTAAAACCCTGAAGATCATGCCTGGGTCTCATCTTTGAGATCTTTAGGTCACCCAAGGAGTATTACCTTACCTAGGAGAAGTAACAGGAAACACATGTAACATATCCTCATGGGTCTTGCAGTCACAGAGAGTAATGTCAACTGGTCTTAAAAAACTTACACTGGGAAAGAGAACACAATTCTTAGGAGTTGAGCACAGCTTGCAAGACTACTACTCTTGCTATGCTGCTCCCAAAGACCCCATTTGAATATCATTAAGTATCAGAGCTGTTTAGCAGCCACTGGGATGGTTGTCAAGTCCCATCCCTACTAAGAAAATGAAGTTACACAGCCCCTTTCCACAGATTCTGGGTCTACTCAGTATCGTCCTCCATACAGTTTGTCTGGTTATCTGGCATCAAGATTCATGGACTGAATCATCTACACAGTATGTACTACACCACAAGTCCATAACAGCTTCTATAAAGTAACTTTACAGTCACCCCTTACCTGCTTATTCATAAGCCCCTGGGCTAAGTGGCAGGAATCATCTCACAAAAACTAATACCTGTAGCACATAAAGTCCCACTCAATAACCCTCATGGTCTATTCTGGTATTAATACCTAGGAAAGTATAAGGCTTGAGTATCTATGCCTTTCTCTGCAGGTCAAAATCTATAACCACTGGCCACTTATTTCACAAGGAAAGAGCTGCAGCAAAAAAACAACCCTCTCCTTCCTAGCAGTAAAGTGTACCAAGCAAAATCTGCCTTCCTTTTATCTCTAGTGTCTCTGTCTTTTTGATTCAGAAAGCACCCTTTAACTCTGAAAGAGCCACCCTCTGCTTTCACTCTTATAAAATCAGGTGTTCAGAATCAAATGAAAACCTAAGGAGAGAACACCTAAGCTCATGGGGTCTCTGCTCATCAGAGCTATTAATCTGACCTCTCCATGTGGTCTTCTAGGAGCAGCAAGTGTTTTTATAAAGTCTTTTTACACAAGAACAGCAAAGTGATTTCTCTACGCTCCAGCATTGGTGAGAGGGTCTGGAGAAAAGTAAGTCCTTATTTGCTTTTCTTGGCTAGAACTGCTGAGACTTTACTACAGTGGTGATGAAAGGAGGCAATCCTTCAGCTAAAAGGTAGCAGGCATTTGGGGCTTAAGACCTATCTGTGTTTCTTGCTGATAGCTCCACTTACAGGGCAATGTTTCCTGTATGATACTGTTGTTCAACCACAAAGCTGCTATGGCTTCTGGATTAACTGGATTAAATATTGAAAATATAAGGTCCCTTAAGCTTCTGTGAGAGGTGAGAAACTTAGGAAAAAAAAAAAAAAAAAAAAAAAAACAACAGAAGTTGAAGGGAATGTGCTAGCAAATCTTGAGGGGAATGTTGGTGGATGGGGTAGGTTGAGAACAGTTTGGTATAAATCCCTGAACATCTACAAAGACATAGACCTTAGCCAGCCTCTGTATGTGACAAGTTTAAGACCTCAACTTAGCAAGCTTTTCAGTGTATTCATATCCAGTAACAGAGAGCTCCTTAGGAAATAGACAACATCTGTGCATCTAAAGGAACTTCTAAATTAGCTAATCACTCTCTGTCAAATCCAATTTGAATATTGCACTGCTCAAAGGGACAGGACATTCTGAGTCATGCTGAAAAAGCCACAGTCTTCAGGTCACCAAGATGCTTTTCCCCCCCTCACGCTCAGAACGGTCAGATTTCAAAAAGAATCCAGGTGGATAGATGCATAATGTATAAAGTCATAAGTGTAAACCAGATTACAGTGATTATACAACAACACAGCCTGGCTGAGTTTCATCTCTGTGTTAGGCAATTCTGAGAATCGCTTGCCAAGTGATTTATTGTTGAGTTCCTCAGAAAAGTTTGGTCTCACAAGGCCCTGAAGCTGCAAACTGAAGCGAATACATTCTTCCATCAAAAATAAATATAAATAAAAATGGAGAGGTGGTGCCTTAAATCTTGGTGTATGTAAGCCTGGTTCAACATCCTTTTTGCAATAGGAAGGTGTTTCCTGTAATATGATTGCTTTTGTAGAAATCAGGAACAACTGTTCAATTAAGAACAGATTTACCTATCTTACCAGAAGAATTTTCTTCTGTAGTAGGGATCCCCTAAGCTGAGAATAAAGAAAGGTGATCTTTTGCAGCTATACCAATGTAGCAGAGTCATGCAGCACTCAAGCAAAAAGGTATGAGTCCAGCTAGCTTTGCTATTTTTCCTCCTCTAGTACTAATTTTCAGTGGCAGAACTGATCACTGCAAGCTGTTTTTTTGAAATCAGACCTCACGATACTTCCTTACTATGTGAAGGCTGCTGAAATGTTTGGGCAGAAACACCTGTGTTATGAAAACTGAAGGCCGCCTCGCCAAACAGAGCATGCAGGCTGAGAAAACCCAGGGGAAGCCAAGGAAGCTCTGTTGGTTTATGCTGGCTCAGACAGAGTCCTGGAACGTGAGATGGATGTGCCTAACAAATATTTATCACAAATCTTTAAATTCTTGAGAAATACCTGACATATGATCTTTATCTTCCTCAAATCTACACCAAGATGCCTATTGATCAGATCTAGGGTGAAGCTTGGTATGCTTAAGCAGAAGGGTGCTCTTGCCAGTCAGCAAGGGCCTCCGTGCAAGGATTAAAGACTAGTACGTACTTTTGCTGTACGTGGCAAAGGGCCCCATGCCCTAAGTTCAGTACTCAAGCAGTCAGATTCTACTTTCACTTAACATTGATGTAAACCTACAGTAACTCCACTGAAATTAGTGGCATTACTTTAGCTTATACCACTGTGCAATAATACCAGAACTTGGCTGTATTAACTGTCTCTTATTGTGCTCTGCACTTCTGAGGATACCTTTGCCAGAGATGTTAAATTTCTGCAGAATTGTCTATTATTTGGGGCAACTGAGAGACTTCTATCTTGGTAATATTAATTTCTTTGCTTCTATCAGAGTGGCCCTGAGGAGCCATCTTTCATCCCTGAGTGATACTGATAAATTCCTTACTATGTATACAGCTCTCCTTTTCAGTGCTTAAACTGAATACATCTATAGAGCAGATATTATTCTAATCTGGAAAACTTACGCCACCAGCGAACGTGCTATTGTTTTAATGGCTTAGCTGAGATGCTGCTGCTTTCTTCTCCCTAGTAACAGTTCTGGTTGGTGGAAGAAATCTTAACCCAAAGAGATCTAAGGGCATCTAGTGGTTCAGAGGGAAAACTGCATCTTCATGCCAGCGGTTTGTGGGTGGACTGACTGCTTTCATAAGTGAGGTGGTGATAAAGTGTGCTACAGAGGAAGAGTGTCACCTATTCCGAGCCAGGTCAGCAGCAAATCTCTGATCTCAGTCACAAAACTTCAGTCTTTTGGAGCTCTGCTTGTGTCACTTCCCCACCAGCATCATCACCATCAAATGACAGTGATGGGTACAAGATAAATTTGGGGGAACCCAGGGATTTGGTCTTTTGGCCTTTGCATCAGTTCACTGACTGCAACAGAACAGTCCAGTCCTAACTGGGCTATAAAAACTTGTGATTGTGACACAAAGCCAAATGTGGAATTCTGCCTCAGCTGTGCTTGTATGATTAATGGCAGGTATTTAAAACCTGAGGATTTACTATACAGAAATGCTACTTATTCCCACAAGAGCTGTCCTTTTGAGGACAGAAGCACAGGAGAAGGAGTGTAGCTGCCATAGCCACATACGTACCGTTCTAATTCTTATTCTTGTCCCTGTAAACGTCAATAGCTTGGATAAGAGTGTTCATTTTGCGAACTATTACACACTACTCTGAGCCTATTTTTGTATGGCCTACAGGTAGACTGCAAGGGGCTTCTTTCTAAACTCTGCATCTTGAGGGCAATTGTTAAAATTTAAGTATCCAGAGGCCCCAGCTGAGACCAGACCTTTGCTGTGCCAAGCATCGAGCAAAAGTATAAAAGAGCCCCAGGTCTAAATTAATAATCTGAAATAAACTGAGGTGAGAGGAAAGTCATTTCATTTGTAGTGCAAAGAAGTAACACCAGACAGAGATGAGCAAGGAGGATGAATGGAGACTGTTTTTCACTTCTGTGTCCATCACCTCCCCCAAAGGTCTCTCCAAGCTCCCCACATGAACTGCTCTGTGTTTTTTGTGGTACAAGATAAAGCATGGGCATTTAAATGCCATGTCTGGGAAAGCAACAATACACTTCCATCCTGATTGTAAATTAGATCTATACACACTTTAAGAAGCAAAAAGCATTTTATTACGGTTGAAAATTCACAATGCAAAGTTAGAAAGTGGCAGAATGATGACAAAAACACAACTTCATTTCTCTTGTGTCTCTGTCATGGCACACTTCAGTTCTGTGATTGCTTGCTATTTTTCTCAGCAGCCCCTTGACATATTTTGCAGACCTGGGCTGAACTGATCATTGAAATTATGCATGGCAACTAGCAGAAAAGCTCTCAGCTTCTAAAGAGACCTATGCTGAATTCAGTAATGCTAGCAGAAAGAGGTCTGTAGTTCACCTGAACAAAGTTAGACTTATTTATCAGCTTTTTCCAAAACAGCATATTTTTGTCAAAATCCTTCTGAAGGTAACAGGGAAGACATATGCCAAACACACAATTGATGCCCTTATCAGACAGCGGATAGTTTAATATTTAAACACACTTGGAGCCCTCAGCAAACCGATCATGCAGTGACAGAGCATAAGTTTTTGTATGTAGGAAGTCCTGGCAAACGTGCGTTGGGTTCTAGCTACTGTATGAAGAGTCACTTCACAGGAGCACACGAATGCTGTGTTACTTCATGTTTGTCTTTGCCAAAGCAAAGACATCTAAATGGTGGTTCTGGTACTAATTCAAATATGTGGCAAGGAAGATCTGAAACAATTAGGCTGAAAAAGGCAGGCAGAGTAAATGTGAGTAGTGATGGGTAATTCTTCCAGAGCTGCTTTGTTACTAGCAAGAAGTAGAACTTCATTCAACACTACTTACTCTTGGAGCAGATAGATCACAGATTTTTTTTTTTTCCTCTGGCATACTACACAAAAACAAGGCATCCTTGAATTCCCAAGTGACTGTAGATTTGCATTTTGAGCAAATAACTTCAGCAAATGTTACCCTGTGTAAATGTCACCCACTATCATTACATTGTTCTTCACCATGTTTAAAAAAACAACCAAAGAACAACAAAAAACAGCAGGAGATGAGAGAGCTGGAATGTATCTATCTTATTCAGATTACAGAGTCCAGGTTGATGGCAAATGATGATACTGCTGGTATCAAATACCTCAGAGAGTCAGCAGCTCTGAGCAAACCAGAATGCTTGACTTAATTTCAAAGTGAAAGTATTCTGGGTAGAAGGAATATTTCAAAGGGTTGAGAAAGATACATCATGACAGAGGCCTAAAGGTAAAAAATGATTGTAGCTATGCAGTCTTTATTGATTCAATCACAGGAAAGCTACTTGAGGAAGATAAAGAGATTTAAGGTAATGTTAGATATAAAAAAGAGTAAGCTTATTCAGAGTTATTATAAAGAATAACATTATTAAGAAGTGTATTTTAATGCTGCATATCCCTGCTAGGAAGAAAACTGGGAAGAGGGCTTGTATTCCTGCTCCAAGATACTCAGTGAAAGCGGCCCTGGTAAGATCACTGAAGAGGAGGAATACTTTACTCATATATACTCATATACCATATATATATATATATAGTGTGTGTGTGTGTGTATATATATACACTCATATATATGGATAGCATACCCTTAACTATCTATGTCACTTCAGGGGTTATCTAAGGAAGACTTGTGCATATCTTTAATATTAATATATTGCCCTCTCCTTATAACTCCACTTAAATACTTAAATAATCAGTTTCCAATAAGTTCAATTAAGAAGCTACTTCTCTTCATCCATCACACAGAGCTGTGTGAGGAGTTGAGGGGAGGGAGAAGTGTCTATGAATATTCAAATGGGTTCTCTGTAGAGACATTTCTTGCTCCATGGAGGAGGAGGGTGGTTGTTTGTGTATGTGTGAGTATCTGTTTTTCCATAAAATTATGAAAACAAATATGAAAGGAAACCCTGCAACAGATCCATTGGGGGGAAGATAACAAAACTCATTTCTTCATAAAAAATGTTTTGTCATCTTTCTTATATGAAGCATAAACACCATTACATGTGACCTTCTAATACTTTTTTGCCTCCTCTAAAAATAAGAAATCACTGATAATAGCTTGTAAAGTGTAGAATTGTAAGAGTGGGGTCATAAGGTTATTCTACAACCGCATCAATAAGATTGTTTAGTAAGTCCCCCCCAGCAGAACCAAGAGGGATACCAGCATTTCTTGAAGGTAATAGCACTTGATGACAGGTGAATTGACTAATTCTAAACTCATACACTACTTGTTTCAAGTGAAGAAGTAAGGCCTACTTCTACATTATCCTCTAGGGAAATCAGATAGTTTATTTCTCTCTCACTCATGTTTTTTCTTTCTTTTTTTTTTTTTTTTTAATATTTTCTGCAGGAAAGTTCTTTTAAAGACATTCAGGACAGCAATCTAACCAATGATCTCTGGGGCAAAGATTCTGTTCAGTCTATGGTGTAACTTCATACCAAAGTCTAGCTAGTTTATCCACTTGCTAAAACTTCCCTCTTTTCCTCCTAGCATGTAAAAATTAATGAAAGTCCTACAAAAGAAGCGAGCTTTGCAACAGGTCTGTGTCAAAACTCTTTGGTTCTTTCCGCAGTTATGCTCTGATTTGCTGTGTTACCTTACAAATCAGTTGGTCAGATTTGCTTGTGCCTTGCTTTCTTCTGCTCTGTACTATGGAGGTAATTAAAAATGCCTACCTCGGGGGAATGCTTTACACTGATACTTAATGGATTAACATTTGTAAAGCTCTTTGAAAGTCTTAGATGTGGGTCTGTACACAAATTCAAAGTATTGTTGTATTGCTGGATAAACAGACTTTTCTCAAGACCAGTCCTTCTTTGTTCACAATATGTGAAAGATGATAAAATTTGGGGATTGACACACCAGTTTAATTCAGATAATATATAAAAGCTTGCTTACTTGCTTTTCCTTCTAAGAACATATCTTGTCTTTAACATTTTCTGTTTATCTTAGCCTGAAATTCTCAGTGCACATAAAGGAAACAAAGGATTTAATGACACAAATGCATGTTTTTTGAGATTCTATGTCAGGTTTTGGAGAAAATGCATATTCCAATTAGAATCCAAAACATATTTATTTATTTATTTTCTTCATGCAGTGGACAGGCTAAGAGAAAGCTTAACTTAAGCAGACATTTTCCCCATAGCTGTCAAATGATGTTATCTTTCTAAAGAAGAGGAATGTCCCCTTCTAGACCCTGGTACCAAGAACACTCAAATCTTGCTATCAGAGTTGTCTTTTAGCTTTGCCAGTAAAGGTCTGTAAAGATAAGGCATGAAAAGTCTAATTCTAGTTCTCTAGTTCTGTATGTATATGGTTTATCTAAAAATTTTGCCTGCCTACTGAGAACAGTGAGACCTTCAAGTCCGTATTTATTTCTCAAGTCCGTAACTAATCACTGTTAACAGGACAAATGTAAATGGCACACCTGAAGTCTTCAACATACATTGGATCACACAGCTCCAAAAAGAGTCATATACCCCACCACCACACCATGCACCAGCTTATGTTTTCCCCATACTTAGGTGATAATGGAAGTGAAATCCACCCAAACTAATACCAGGTTACGCTATATATGTGCCTCATGCCTCTTGGCAACAGCATGTTTTTGGAATACAGCTTTTAAGTACAGAAAGGTTTTGATCCTTGTTCTAATTTTTCTGCTACTTTCTTCCTTCCTTACAAAATAAGTCCATTTCTTTTCCTAATCCTGCCTAACACACACAGATGAAATCTCAGATCCTTTTTTTGCTGCTTATAACTAATGTGGTATTTGGCTAAAATGTTACAAGTAATCACAAAACCACTGATAATCCTAAAAACAAATAAGATAGTTGTGGTGAAGAGCCCTTTAGGGTGCAAAATAGAAAAATCGGGGCTGTGAAAATAACAACTGAGGATTTCTTCAAAGATTTGGATTTGTTTTCATCATTTATAAAAGCATTGCAAAGAGAGATATAAGCTTTCCAATAAATAAAAGATTTTCTACATATACACCAAGGGAAATTGAGAAAAGTTGACTATTTTTAGCAAAGAGATTTGGGCTACATACAAGGAGTTGCATTCTATCTAGTGGACTAATGAAACACTATACCAGGCTGTTCAGAGATGTGGAATCGCCTTTATGCATAGCTTAAAAGAGAAGCTAAACAATCTGAGAATGGTTTCCAGCTAGCTGGTCTTTTGAAAGAATAGGAGATTGGAGTGTATTAGCTGTTAACCTTGCTTCCAAGCACATAGTTCTATTTAATGTGCACGTATGGTATTTCTAGTTGTAGTGCATATCCTACTCTCAGCTTGGTTTATGCTAAGTAGTCATATATTTATGTAGCAGCCTTTAGAGGCTTGTTTTTCAAAGCAGAGCTCATTTCATAAAGCAGATGAGAATCAATATTTTTACAAGTGGTGTAGGAAAACAATGATTCCCCTGAGGTCAGTCAACAGCCTGTTTTGATATGTGACTGCATGAAACTTAAAGAAGTCAAATCTTTAAGGGTCCCTCCCTTACCTCCTGTTCAATAAGCTATACTGTTTTCTTTTTCATTGTCTCTTCTCTTACTTTAAATATTCACTTGCATTTTTTTTCTTTATTTTAATATAAATGTGCATTTGCATGTCACTTCATTTTAAGCCTTCTATTCTTTTGGAGTATTTCATTGGGTTTGTTTTATTCCAGAATGGTATTTTTGAGGGTTTTGCTACTATATCAAAGCTGATGGTGGTTTTCCATTTGCTAGTTGGCTCTGAGTCATCAGTAGAACAATGTTCACAAAAGTGGAAGCAGACAGTATCCTATTCACCCAGGAGATGTTGACACTATGGACAGAATTCAGCCTATGTCTTGTGGTGTATTGAGAAAGGTCAGTGTCATGTTTTTCTGTTGTTTGATGTTCAAAAAGAGCCAGATCATCTAGATATGTGAAGAAGCTTTCCACTATGTCTTTTCCCCCCACCCTGCCTCCCATGATATGCTAAAATGAATCCCATGGGTTTTTATACAACAGTAACCACTACAGCCTGGTGTAGGAAATGTGTTATTTGAATAGATACATTAATCTCAAGATACAAACGAAGATGCAAGATATTTCAAGTTATAGTTAAATTCTTATTTAAATCATTGGGAATGAATAAGAAAATATATGAATAAGAAAAGACCATTTCTGTGGATGTCTTCAGTTTTGCTTTGGAATAAATGAATACTGTCAATACTGGCTTTGGTTTGGTATTGTGGTTTTATTTTCAGTTTTTTGGGTTGTTTTTTTTTTTTTTTTTGGTTGGATTGTTTGTTTTTGTTTTTGTTTTTTTTTGGCTGTTTTTTTTTTGGTCACAATGCACAATGAAATATTCAGCTGTGATCATGACTTCATTATGGGGAGAAAAAAGAACATCCATTTAAGTGGACTAATAAGTTGCTTTTGGCAATTTCTCATAAACAAGCAGATTCAAGAATACAATGCCAAAAGCATGCATCTATCTGTTTCTGTGGGTAAAATAGATCTGATTCAGGAATAACCTGATCAAAATACAGTTTTAAGAATTCTGGCAAGCCCACTTGCTTCAGTGAGGCAAACAAAACCTTTTAACATTCATTAAATGTCTTCCTGACTTGATGCCTGTAATAGGAAGCATAGGGGATACTTTCTTTACCTTGTGAAATGGTATTCCATGAATTCTTCTGATTCAAATGTGTGTGCTCATACAAGATTTGCAGTTCATCTTATGAAATTTGTGCAATGGTCTAACTTAGTTTTGCAAACTGCTGTGTGTTAGTCAGTAAGCCTGTCTTCCTACCATTACAACTTGTTCTAGATCTTACTGATATCACTGGACTTGCCCTGAAGAGGAATCTGGATGAGAAGGTCAACAAATAGCAATGCAATATACTCTTGGGACTTTGATCTGATGAGGGCATGATGATCATTAGTCCTCTGGAATCTTGTTCTGGTTGCACGCTGTTGTTTGTTTTTTTTTTTTGTTTTTTTTTTTTTCTTCACAGAAGTCATTCTATTGACTTCTTTTATTTCGCAACAGAATTAAGTTTGTTCCCTCTTTTGTTGCATATTTGGATACATTAATAGGTGTTTGTTGTGGGGAGAGAATGTTGTTGAATTTCACTCACTCTTGAACAGTGGGATTCAGTGACTAACACAAGCTAGATCCTGGTCACACAGGGTATTAACCAGCATGAGCTTAACAACACAGTGTTAAAAATGAGTCACTTAATTAACAAAGGCAGGGAGTGATTAGTATAGACCAGAATAAATGATATCCAGCTAAAAATATTTTTCTCTGCTTCATTCTTTCAATTTATTTTTACTTTAAATTACGTAGATTAGGGACACCAGACTGATGTATTTCATCATGAAGTCCCAGCCTGAATTTTGCAATAACAGATAACAGCATCAGGTAAGTATGCAGCAAGTGACTCTACAGATGCTCATTTAGAGTTGTGCTGATTAGGTGAGTGTGTGCTTTGGCAGGGGAGTTTTAAGTCAGCTGACAGTAAGTCCCAGAACACTCAAAAATGTAATGTGTTCTCTATTGTGTATCTTTCTAAGCATCAGCCAGACATCTAGAGACAACACAGAAAACACCAGGCTTATTACCATAGAAATAAGGAACTTGCAGATTTATGTATGAAACTATCACATAGCCCACTTCTGACCAAAGCTGAGTACTCTCTATTCTAATGCTTAACGTACAGCTTGTCTCTATATATTCAAACTATTGTGTTCTACCTTGCACTGCTTGTTTTCTGTCTAAATTGGAATTACTCCCACCCCATTCTGTCATGTCATTTAGTCATTCCTTGCACTGTTCTTCTAGTAAACCAAAAGGGCTGGTTAGTAGCAGGTCTTTCCTTCATCTTCAGTTTTAATTTCTGCTGTTTCTACTACTGATCACCTCATTACTGACAGCAGCTCACTAAAAACATTTTCTTTTAAATGTCAGCAAATTCTTTGTACTGCTTTCTTGACAGCTCATGTTTCCATTAGGAATAAAACAGGACTGTGAACAAGGTATTTGGTCCCACGAGCCTGCTTCCCCCTTGCCTCCAGGTTTGTAGGGATGTTCTTTTACTCCCCACCTCTAAAATGGAGATGATAATTATGTTCTACAGGAAGGAAAGGTTAAAATAGCTTATGGATTGTTTCAGTCAGATGGCAGGAGCTATACATGTATTAGAGATGTAGCAGAAAAATGCAAATCAGAACTGAGGTATGGTAGGCAACCATAACAGCAATCTCAGGACTGAAATAATAGCATGCTGCAAGATCAAGACAGAAAATGCAGTACAGGATAACTTGCTAACTTCCCCATGCTGTACAGAGCTGAAGCTACACTGATCACTCCCTTTGTTTATGTTCCTATTATCACTCATTTACTGATGGCATTTTACTTTTAAACAACTGCTCCTGATAAGCTTATTGTGGTCTCCTATGTGCCCAGAGGAGAATTACAGGAAAAGAGAATGTGATTAGAGGCAGCTGCCAAAATTGGAGGGTAGAAAGAAACAAAATTTAAGTTACATAGGAAATGAGGTGAAATGAAATGAACTAGCCCAGCTGAGATAATATAATGGTATATGCATTTGCCACACTTATAAATAAAACATTGACTTGTTATTGCACTTCCAGGGTGTACAGATCCCAGGGAATTTAACATAACATGATGCACATGTAGGGGCAGAAGGCAAGGTCATATACAAAAATGTGATGTTGGAAATGGCTTTCATGTGGTCTGTGGAGAAGGAAGGGGGAAGGAAGGGTGGGAGAAAGCAAAGAGTATTTAAAACTATACTCTTTTTTTTTTTTTTCTTTAGAACAAAATTCTAATCAGGACCTGGGCATAGAGAATACGTTATTTAGACTTATAGTGCAGTCACTCAAATAATATGAGATAAGTGTCACTTCATTTTTTACTGTCTTTGAAAGGTTTCTACGTCTTTTTCAATTTTTATCACCAACTCAATTCATTGAAGCTTGATGTTTTCATTTCCAGCTGATGCAAACCTTTCTGATAAACAGAAGAAAGCGTCCAAATAATGTGATGTGTCTCGTTTAAAATACGCAAACATCTGGGCTTTAAAAAGCCAGTTCTCTTTCTTTAATTCCTGGTGTTTTGAAAGGAAGGAGAAACTCAATAGTGTGTGTTCCAAATGGAGTGGGCGAGAATTTGATGAATGAACAGAATACAATTCAGAGGTATCCTGCAGAATGTCTTTGATGTAAATGGGATCTCAAAGTACTTTATGAATTTAAATTAGATAGAAGGATCAAGAAATTAAAAGGCAGGAGAGGAAATTAGGAATTTTATTCAGCTCATGAGGCAGAAAGATACAGCTTTAACACAAAAGTAGAGAAAGGTCTTACACTATGGTAGTAGAAAGTTGCAATGAATAAAATATATATGGAAAGCAATTCTAAATGTGTTTATTAAATGTGTGTAAAATTCCTTGAAGGTTTGCAGTTCATTGGAAACTGAGGGTTCTAGTGGAATGGCAAATACAGAAGATTTATTTAAGAGAAGTAACTTCATAGCCTCTCTAAAGGTGCCAGGGAGGAAGAAAAACATTTTCAGCTTCTCCAGAAAGATTTTAGAGGAGGCAGGAAAAATGGCTGTTCATACAGATTAATCCATTTTCACTCTTTATGAATCATATTATGCAAACAACCTCTGTTTTTTTACATATGTATTTCTTTGGGTCATTTTTTGTTTTTGTGTTGTTGTTGTTGTTTTGCATCCATTCCTTCAAACAAGAACTTCTTTTTGTGGAGTTTTATTGGCATTTTGAAGGACAATTGACACCCAAGTTATTGATCTGTGTCTACCTGCTTACTCATCATTTTCTCAAAGTCATTCTGTATTTCATTTTAAAACCTGCAACAAACACATTAGGTTCTTCTCAGGTCTTTGTAGCATTGCTGCAACACTGAAGTCAATAAATGAGGAAATCTTTCTGTATAAGGAATTAATTTAAATCTATGACCAAACTAAAGTGTCTTTGATGACAGTGCTCATCAGAGTATTGCTATCTCCAACCACTGGGTCATTTCAGTACTGTTTGTACTGATTTCAGCTGTTCTGGACCTCAAGGAAAAAAAATCTGGTTTCTCTTGCAAAGTAGCATTGGCTTGTAGGCACAACTACTAAATTTGTCCTGTTGCTTTCCAGCCTCCCTTCATTGTTGCTGATTTCAAACATTTGTCATCACAGGCAAAGGAGGACACTGACAGGAATGCCATCATGTGCTACACCTTGGATGCTGCCTGCTCTCACTGTATTCCTGCAGTTTAGAAATACAGCCTGGGGGAGTTACCTTTTTGTAGCAGTTTCTTGGTCATCTTGACAGCTAACTGTGTGTTGCCAGCAAAGAAGACATGATGAAAAGAAATTCTTATGTCTGATTTCTGTTGATGTTGCAGAGTGTGCAGCATTCCCAAATGCTGGATGGAGCAAGATGATTTGCATGTCATATCTTGAAGCTTTTACATAGAGGAAAGCAAATCTCTGGCATTCAGTTCTGTAGACTGTTATTTTTTACACTTAAGGGATCTAATTTCCAATTAATGTTTGGATGATTAAACATACAAAATGGTGTATCCTGTATTTGGCATCCATATATTACCTCTGAGGGTTTTCCTATACTTACAGATATCCCAACCATTTGCACTGCAGCAGAAAACTTGGTATTGCCTACTCTTACACTAAAACGTCTCAATGCATTTGGCCAGCTCTACTAAAAATGAGTTAAAATTAACTTCATTTTCCAGATCTTAAAATAAATAAATAAATAAATAATAGCCCTCACGGTCTATTTGTTCTTGAGTAACCTAAGTTGACTTACTTTTTATTGACAGCTCTACCTGTATAGCTAAAACTCTTCCAAACCAGCTGGCTAATGCCTGTGAAAAGCTCTGCATTGTGAAAGACCAGGTGTAACCAATGACCCACCCATCTGCCCCAACATCTGTGTGACAGCAGTGGAAAAATAGTTCTGCTGAACACCAGAGCACAATCCTCTGATGAATAACTGCGGCCACACTGATACCACAGTGACAAAGAGACTTCAGTGTGGGCTCAGTACTTGCCCTGTTTGCCATTTCATCAGCCTGCCACCTCCAAGATGGATACTTGCATAAGTGGGCCTGGCAGGATGCCTGCAAGCCTCTGGAGTGCTCTTGTTGTGCGTGAGGCCGTCCTCGCAGAGTTTCCATGGAAAATAGAGGCCAGCAGCCTGCAGCAGCCCACAGATGTGTATCCAACTTGAAGGGCTGCATTCTCAGGTTGATGTGCACAACTTCTAGGGTAAAATAAACCTGTATGGCCTTCACTGAGTGGGAGCCAAGCACCTGACTGTCACACATAGCTTGCAAGTGTGATTAGGAGAAGCACTAATGGAAACCTTCCTCATTCCTGTCACTATCCTGTCTACCTCATGTTCCCTGTGATAAGAATAATGGATTTTCTAATGGCATTAGTAATTTTATTTTATTTTTTACATTCAGGAAGTTTTGACTGGTAAAGGCATAAAACTAAACAAGACACAGCACAGATAAGTAGTAGGTAACATTTTTCTATACAATTCCTCTGTACACATTTTCACTGCAAATGTCACTACAAGAAAGAACTATATAATCACGGCACAAATAAAGAGCACAGAATAAATACAATAGCCCTCTTGCTGCAAGACATACAGCTTGTACTTATTGAAGTGTAAAGAGTGTACTGAACACTGAGAAATGGATCACCTGTGGTGAGATTGCTTTTCCTATGATGATATGGTTCTACGTGACGTGGTGACTCAAGAGCAGGGAGGGAGGTAGAAGAATTAGAAAGGGAAAGAAGGAACATATCTCTCCATCACAGGAGGAATGTGAAACATAAATTAGTGGAAGGGCGACCTAGCTAAGAAATTAGGTTTTGAGACCCTTCTAGTGCAGGGGGAAGTCACAGATTTTAATCCATTAAGTGATTTCAATCCCCTTGAAACTAAAGGCTAAGTTTTGTAAACAATACATGTAGCCAGCAATGTTCTGTTGCCCTTAGGGCTTCTGTTGCCCCTATGAATGCTCTCTTATGCATATGAATGCTCATTATTTTGCTTAAAAGGGCTTATAGATCTAAAACTTTTCTCCTCTGCCTTTTAACCTCTTATATAACTGACTATTTTGCTCTCTGCTGAATTCAATTTACCAGATGTGTCTGGTATTTTCAGAGCATTCCTCAAGTTTGCTGCTAGGGCCTTGAGCAGAGAAGTTCAGCCCCTCTCCTGCTCACATCTGTATTGTGGAGTTTCAGCCCAGCCTAGGTACGTGCCTGCTCTGACAGGGATTCTTCAAAGCAAGCACATGAATTTAAGCTTAGACACTAAGAATCCTTCCTTAGTAGCCCAAAAATAGGAGTATAATATCTAGGCAGTGCTTGAAAGTAGCTGGTCTCTGTGGATCATTGAAACTCGTCTGAATTTCAGTCTCAATTCAGATGGAATCCTACTCCCAGTGTGCTTGCGCATAATTCCCAAAGGGGCTATGTGACCACATGAGCTGCAGTGAGCTCTAGAACAACAGAGAAAATGAGCCTGACTTCTAGAGGGATGCATGCAGTATATGGAGAGATTCAAGATAACTAAAATTTGAGTGTTATAATATCTACTTATAGCCAGTGATGTTCTATTATTTAAGCCCTATGAAATGCTGTTCCTGTCTTTAAAATTGTGTGATCAACAGGAAGCTACAGAAACTGGAAGTAATGTCTTGAATATCTTAACAGTAATAAAAGTTCAGAGACTGACAAGGGCCTACCTACTACCCCGACACTGCATCTTCCTAGGACACACAAAGGGACAGAGCCGTACCTCTTTGCAGTCAGACTTCATCTAAATCCATAACCTGCATATTTTGTGAAGTGAGCAAAGAGATTTCAATCAGGGCAGAAAAGGAGAGACTTAATAGCTGTAAGAGGAGAGTGAATCTTCCTCTGGGATGCAACTTTGAATTTTTCCTTATTAAATACAGATACAAAATTTGTGTCTAGCTGAAGTCTGCCTTTAGTTTCTGACTAAAATTAGAAATGAAGCACACCACCTAGGTCAACTGAACACTGCCTTCTAACAATTGCATTGCTTCTCTTTGGGTTTTGCCATTAAGTTCAAGCTGGTGAGCCACACGATCCCAGTGCTCTATTAAATGCATTCATGTAGTAATGATGCATTTGCACTCCATGTCATTTATACTGTACTATGTCGTAATCTAAAAATTAGGAGATGACCTCAAATTTTAAGTTGTTAGAAAGGATGGAAAAGTTCCAACTAAAATGGTTCTGTGAACCTCAAGAGCAGTATCGAATCACTCTCTTTGGAAAATAATATTTATAAATGTACTTAGCTCGTTTCCCCAGCTACATAAGATTGCTGTGGGAGTTTCTTGACAAAATTCATACTCTTTTTGAGGAATTAGGGGAGTCGAGGAAAAGTAACTGAAAGAACTGGATAACTATTCAGGAAAAAGAATAAAATTTATATATGATATTCAAGAGGATGTCACTAGAGCACATTCTTCCATGTGCACAACAAGACCACAAGCATTAACACAAATCCTCAGTGCATGTAATCTCTTCTAGGATTTCATAACGTTCAACTCCAGTCCAAGCAAGATGATCTGCTGTGTGTTTCTGGCAGATCTCATTTCACATCTAGCACTCATGTGAATGAGCTTGATGAAGAGCTCGTACAGAACTTAAGTATGTCAGGAAACATCTCTCTTCTGGTACAGAAATTCTCCATTATTACACCAATTCTGCTGCTGCACAGGGGGATCATGCAGTGATTCTCATTTGCCTTGGGGGTGTTGTAGGACAGGGAAGAATTCTAAAGTACCTACTATTTCTGCAGCACTAGAGATGGCAAAATAGACTCTGAAGCAATTTCTGACTCAGATCATAGCCAGCTTTTGTACAATATCACGTGTAAAGTGCAAGTGCTCTTACACAGCATTGATGATTTTGTCAGGCTTGCATAAGGCTATGGCACCATCTAGCTGCAAACACTTGATTTTTGTTTATTTGTTTAATTAGTTTTAATTTTTACACTTAAAGAAGCATCTTTCAATTTGGTTGTCAGCTTTAATTCAGCTAGCACAAAACAGAGGGGTTGACTAAGCAGTTCCTACAAATCTGCTTATGGTCTGACCTATGGTTGCCCAGATATTTTCCAGGTCTTCTGCATGTGCTGGCCTGTAATTGATCTGTGATAGGGTGGTACGTGAGTGCTTAGCTATGTGCAATGACTTAGTGGAGATAATGCAGCTGTCTAGGGCTAACTAAAAATTGCAAAACTGCTCATCTGAGCCAAGTTCCTAACTTGTATTTCTTCCTTCTGTATTGGAACACATGCTTAAGTTTTATGTTTAATTACAAAATTGAGGTACCAAGCCAAACAGAAACAAGATTTAGGAATCTAAAACTAAGCACACAAAATATTATTTTAAAGTAGGAATTATGGCTGTCCTTCAAATATTAACAAACAAGTCTACCAAACTATGCTGTTTTATGGAAATTGGAAGTACTTGTTTCTGTGGATCAAATTTAGAAAAGAGTTTTGATTTCTCATAAAGGGGTAAGAAATATAAAGCTGCCCAAATGGTGTCTCTTTCATTTAACTTCTTAAAAACATGACAAATGTATTTTTGTTTAAAAACAAAATGAAGCATTATAATATTCAAGTTTATAGGAAAAAGTAAACTTAGAAATGAAACAGCTGAGGGAGCCAAAAGAAATATTTTTACTTAATAGAAAATGGTGTTTTCTCTATTTTCTTTAAATGGATATTAATTTCTATGTTAAACTAAACCAATATTCCTTCTTTTTCTATTCTGAAGCACTTCGCACAGCCACCAAACAAAATCAAATACCATGTTATTTAGCCAACTGCACAAAGAAGGCTGGAGACACATCAAGATGTATTAGTATCTTCATTGCTCTTGATTTGTTTCCCAGAAACCTGGCATAAAAGAAGTAAAATTTGACATTTACAAAATTGGTCTTTTATGTACTCAGTGGCCTTGCAGTCAGCAAAGATGCTTGAGTGGTAATGGAAAGGTCTTCATGAGTGAGTGATCATTGTATCAGGGGACGTTATTAGATTTGGTGAAAGAACAGGAAGTGGAGGTTTTACTTTGTCAGTGTTCATCTTAAAAAAAGTTCAGAAAAATGCCTTCAAGGAAGATAGAGTACATGCTTTAGAGTACAGAGAATAGTTTGGGGATTTTCTTTTTCTTAAAGATATCATTTTAGACATGTCAGCTTTCTTTTGTCTTCATAATATGGATACAGGATTCACTTAGGACATTGTGAAAAATTACTTGGAGAGATTTATAAACAACAGAGGCTTTTCTTTCCATATTATTATCAAAGGTCCTTCAGAGAAGTTGAAATGATAGCTTTAGTACAGTTGGATCTGTGCTTTCTCAGCATGCGGCCAGCTCCTTCACCCATCTCTGATGCTTCAGAAGATTTATTTTGGAAGCTGAAGGAAGCAAAAGCAAGAGATCATAACACCAATACCTTAAATCTCATGCTCCAGTCCTCAAAGACTGCTACCACAAACACAACAAAATGTGCACACTTTCTCCCCAAGCAAGTTTTCTGTTAGCAATTAACCACGCAGTGACCCAGAGTTGTAAGATTTTTATTAAGCACAGCAAGGTTGTTGCACTGCAGTAAGGCAAGCCGTTTGAACCAGAGAGGTGATTGCCTTGCATTTCATCAGTTCTATTGACGTAGAAACTTAATGGGACTCAGAAATCAACATTTACCTGCACAGTATACACAACTGCTTTTCCAAAGCTTAGTGAAGTTATCGCATCCTCCTTACAACACGAGTGCATTGACAGCTCTTCCCAGCTGCTCTTGAAATTTCCCAAAAATTAAAGGAGGAGAAAACTTTTGAATAAGTCATGTGTTCTTTCCAGCTTTCAAGAAGGTTTAGAATGAATTTCAGGGCAATGGTTTGGGACAGAATTCAGTATTCTTAATGGCTCATGCTTCCAGACTAAGTAAGTGGGGGTAACTGCTAACAAGTAAGCAAGCTATTGTGTGTGTATGCACACATACACAAACACACACGCAAATAAAAAAAAAATAAAAATAAAAAAAGGCAGACAGAAAGTCCAACCAAACTTCCCCAAGAAAAGAATAACAGGAACAGTCACTTCCCTTTTCTTCCACTTTCTGTTGATGAGTTCTTGATTTCCTGTTCCTCATGTAATAATTCCTTACTGCGTGATGCAGTCCCATGTTAACACTCCATAAATGGCTCCTGATTCTCCCAGGGAAAGGTCCCACTATACAATATTCTGAGGATTCATGTGCATATTCTTGTTTATACGCTCTCCTGTGCTGGGTGATTTATGCCACTGCTGTTTACATGCTGCTATTAGCTGGGAATGATCTAGCTCTGATCCTTATATTCTGAAAAGGATTTACCTTTAATTTGGAG